GGAACGAGCAGCCTGCCTTCACACATGTACACGCATACACTCCACCCAAGTCCTTCGCGCGCCAACGCAGATTAGCTACAGCAACGCCGGTGGGTGGCAGAGTCTGGTGCAAGTACTCGCGCTCCTCCCTGCGCGCCTCCTCACTCATCTTCGGCGCCTTCACGCCACGCAACCGTATTCTCTCAGGCATCTGTCTGCGATACTGCTCCGCCACCAGGCTCCGTCCTATCCATTCACAACAACAATGCCAAACACTGCGTGCAGCGAGGAGAAATTGACCGAGAAGCACCCCACCCACACCTACCGATGCTGCAGAGCAGTCGAACGGAGGGTCGCAAGAGGTCGCGGCTCTCCTGCTTTGCACCATCCACCTCGCCAAGCTGCACTGCAATCGTGTCCGTCAGCTGCAGATTGTACGCGTGCATGACGGGAAATGCGACATCCAGTGCGGGAGCGACGTGCTCCACGCCGCTGTCATCCATTCGCCGCGAGCCAATGTAGTCAGGGCAGCGTGGATTTGCCTGGGTCAACAGTAGCCGCAGCGCGTCAGCGCAGTCATTTGTGCCCGCATCCGTGGCGACGGAGGAGTCTGCGTCTGCGTCCCTCTCAAGCACCCCGCTGCTCAACTTCTGCTCACTGCGCGGTGGCGACAACTCACTCCTCTCCCCACAACGCACACTTGCCATGGCACAGCATTCGCCCTCCTGCGTCCCACCAACAGCATTATCTGCTGTCACAGCAGCAATCATTTCCACAAGTGCTGCTACTGCAACGTTGAAGCAAAAGATAAACCAATTTAAGTATTGTCTAATCACTAAGGCGACTATTTGCATTCACCATAACTGCACACGCACAATCCTCCGCTGATCGTTCCACCGACTCAACTCACCAACTACTCTATTATTGGCAGCTTATTTCCTTCAGACAGCATCATGTTATTCTCCACTTACCCAACAGTCTATTTCCCACAACTTCTAACACCACAATGTGCTCATTACTTTTGTTTTACTCAAGCCCATCGATGCGCGCCAAATCCAAACAGAGTGACGTTGAGCGCGTCCAATTGCAGGGCGGTCCTCACCGTCTGTGATGACTTCAACCACAACCACGCAGGTCACCTGGGACTCCACGTGAAAATCCAGTCCGATGGTTTTGCATCTGACAGGACAACCACTTGTAGTGCTCAGTCCCTCTGTTCCATTCTATGCCTACAGCATTCCAACTCGACACCACCACCTGTCAGTGCTTTCGCGTGTCTCGTCAAGGACGTGAAAAGCAAAAAGCGGTCATACAGGCATTAATATCCCAACAAAATCATCACAGCAAAGAGAGTAATGAAGTGCAGCAAATGGACACGCACACTACATGTTTGCGAAGCTGTTTAGCATTAACGAAGTGCATAAATGAAACACTGCAGTTTAAAAGGTACTTTGCATAAATCTTATGGTTTGTGGATTTACCGACAGGGCTTGTTTTTCCGCAGTCTACTTTAGTCGTAAGTGGCGACTTGGCGACCTTGGATTTGATTGGACCGCGCCTCGAGAGGCCGATTAAAAGAGCCAATTCACTGTTTATGTTGTTTGACACACAACCAAATGGGAATGCTACAGCGCGGAATCTGGGTGGGGAATTTGTGGAAAATCGGGACAACGCAAGGCCTTGCAAGCTTTGCCCGACATGCGAAGGAATCCGCCTGAAATGTGCTCTTGTTTAAATGCAGTCAAATGTTGGCGACTTTGTAATTGTGCCATGTGGATGGAGAAGAGTTGCCCACACTCAGTTAAATTTTAAGCACAACCACAACTAAGTTGACAATGAATTCCACTTTTCGCTGCTTTGGCTTACAAACTGTGCACGTTTAAAAGGACGAAATTGTGGCGGTTTTTTTGAAATAGTACCAACAATGTGGAACTGTTGCCCGAAATAAATAGTTTGATTGTAGCAACAACAATATTGGAATTAATATTAGTGCTTCCAACAATAATTAAAAAGTCGTTGTTTGTACTATGTCAGTTGGTAATTTGAAGCAGTAATATTATAGTAGCGGTGGGCAGTAATTTTGTGCCAGGCCTATTCCTCCGCTCTTGCCTCGATTCCTCCACAATGCGCAAACTCTACATAACATAACATAGCATAATTACTTGCGCTAAACCTGTGCATATTCGGAAGTGTGCACCACTTGCACAGTTCACAGAGCTCAGTATGTCTTTGGGCGTTAATGTGAGGCGTGAACTTCTGTGTGTGTGGTTGAAGGTAGAACCCACACCCCTCCCCTTTCATTGCAATGTTTCGCACAGAGCATTTCCAGAATGTCGAAATACGAAGGATCGGACTGTTTTGTAGGTATTGCAATTACAATTCTGAATGTGGGAAATACAGCCGTATCATAAAAAGGCTTTTTCCTGTCCATCGAGAAACTGTCTTCAATGGCATCTTAGCTGATAAGTTAAAGATGTAACCACATGATTCTACACCCCACGATGATACCTTTT